TACCGCATCACATCGACCCCGAAGAGAAGGAACTTCAGGATGCAGAATTGCTGATGAATGGCAAGCAGCATCCACGACAAACTGGAAAACATGAACATATTAACAAAGATGGTGATCTCATGAACTCCATCCCTGGTTTTATAGAAAATAAAAGCTCTGCCAGATCAGATTTTAGAGAGGCTTGTTTTCCACAAGCTAGATACAATGCACAATCTCTAGTTCTATGTGGATTGGAAGGTGCCACTAGCAATCCAAATGAAGCAGAAGAATCTGGCATTTGTTCAGTAACTGATGGTTCAATTTGTAATTCACAGTATGGGAACATGATTAACTTTAGTGGGGAGGTGAGGGAGGAAGGTTATGTAGGAGGCTGTAATAATTTACCTGGTAAAGAATTTGAAAAGGTCAAGTCCTTTGCAGCTGAAGATGAATGGATCTTCGATAACGATAAGCAGATTATGAAGATTAAGAGCAATTTGAATGAAGCACATCGAGAACTAAGGTATAATGGAAGTGGAAATTGTGAGTCCTTGAATCTCACATGTTCGGATTTTAGTGAAGAAAAGATGGAAAATTCAGAAGTTGCATCTCAGCATGAAGATTGTCAGAATCTGAAACAAGATTTTACCAAGCAGATCACTGATAGAGCACAAACAGGAGGTTTAGTAGTAGAGGTCTCAAGTGAAATTTTATCTGATAAAAATTGCAAGACTAATCCTGGTGGGCTTTCAGTTTACTCAGAACATAAGTCCCAGGGTAGGAATGTGTTGCATTCAGGTGATCAGTCCCTTAGTAAGCATGTGAGTATAGATCAAAGCCAAGATGGACAGATTGCTGAAACTGGTTTATCTGCGCCGCCATTTCAACAAGATGAGCGTGGTTTTGATAGATTTGATGTAACAAGTGCTCAGCCAGAATTGGAGAGTAATAACATTACAGCAGGAGAAGATCCTGCAGATATCTTATATTTTGGCCCTAGCAAAGTTACTCTTGCTGAAAATTGTAATCATCCAACAGATGAAGAGTTTAATCATAATAAGTTTCTTGGTAATTTAACTTCCTGTCTGGAATTTGGTTCATCATCTAGTGTAACAAGAGACGAAATGGTATCAGCTGTAACTGGTTCAATTGGCGAATGTAGAAAACCAATTAAAGAGTCTGTCTTGGAAGCGGTGGATGAAGCTGAAATTCGTGATTCATCAAACTGTCAAAATGAGGGTAATTTAACTTCCTCTGTGGAATTTGGTTCATCTTCCAGGGGAACACCGGATGTAATTGGATTAGGTATACTTGGTCCAATGGGTGAAGGTAACAAACTGATCAAAGATGTGTTTCTCTTGGGAGGAATGGATGAATTTGAAATTCGAGATTCACCTAACAAGCCTAATGATGGTAATCAGATAATCAAGATGAAGCATGGTATGTTGTCTCCATTAAGCTTGAATGTTGAAGAGTCGCAAATGTGCTGCCATGCAGATTTCGTTCCTTCTAGTCCAACAGAACTGGGGTATCACAAGGTTGTATTAGAGAGTCTTCCTACTCCACCACAACTTGGAGATAAAAGGCAACCAAATGAAGTTGGAAAGACAACAAATGCACTCACGAATATCTTACCGATGGAGGATACACATCTGGAGTTGCATGCCGATGATGCTCATTTGTTGCCTGGAAAAGGCCCTATCAAACGTGAGAGCAGCAATGCCTTGGAGAATTTTCAAGATGCTCTACAAAGAAGTTTAGATAAAGGTGCATTAGAAAGCCCAAGCGTTCTGAACAAGGAGTCACCTTTGATTCATGGGAGCAGCAACGTTGCTGATGAACTGGATGTTATCCACGGCGTTGAGGATCAACTATCATATCCGATGACAATTGAATCTTTATCTTTGGAACTTAATTCATCGACAAGTAAAATCCATGCAGCAAGTGTGACAAATGATTGCATAGAACTTGTTGAAGGGGATCAGACCTCATCAAGAATTAAAAGAAAGGTAGTTGACATATTGAATCAAGATATTGTGGTGAAGGAATCTGAAACTGGAAAACCTAGTGGAAGTGAGAATTCTCACAATGAACTTTGCCATGGACTGCAAGATACCGAGCAGTGCAGAAATGATAACAGCAATTTGTCAGTGTAAGTATTTCGATGATTTTTCTAACCCCAAAGAACTCCTTTGGTTTTTCTAGACTTCACAAATTACAATCTTTTAGAGAATTGCTATTTTATTGATGGCAGCAAGAATACAGAGAACTGTCTGAAGAAAGGCAATCTTTTGATATTACCCCTACGGGACGCAGTTCCATTTTCTGATGAATGGTTGGCAGCAATGGAAGCTGCTGGGGAGGTAATTTCTTTCTGGAAAATGAGCTGTATGCTGTGATCTGTCTGAAAGAAGCCAAATATAATTAAGCTTTGATTTCCTGAATCTGTTGTGATCTCCAAATTATTTGAAGCATACTTTTATTAGTTCCAGGACATAATCTTCACTATCCTGGGCAGTTTGTTTCCACACATTTATCCAGAACCTTCACTTTTAGCTGGTGCTGTTAAAGAACAACTGACAAGATATTAGCTGTTCGTCATATCCTCTAGTGAGCATACCTCTGTATTCATAAAATGAAAGCCTAAATCATCCAGTAATAGGTCCAGAGCAGTCAGCTAGCTTGACCTCCCTAAAAGCTACGTAGTTGAAGTTCAGCTCTGAACCTTAGGTTAGGCAGTGAGACAATTTTGGCTTGAGTGTCAAGCTCCACTGCTCTGAATCCCTATCAGAAAAATGATTGAGCTTCGTTCAGTGGTGATCAAATATTTGCAGGTTATGTAATCAACTCTTGTACTCTGATTTTACAGGATATCTTAACCATGAAAGGTGGTGCTGTACAAAATTCACCCCAAGTGAAATCCTTGCCTGAGCCAAGCCCATGGTCTCCGGTATGTCACTATTTATAGATTCTTGTTTTCTTGTTTGAGGTTGCCTATGCCATATCTAACATGTATTCTACTAGCTAGAATGAGAATGCATTCAACTTTATTCTGTCTCATTATAGATAAAAAGATTTCTGTGGCATATGCTACAAATTAGGGTGAGAACAGTTAATCTTAACCTTGTAATTAATAATGGTGCTGAGAATCATTTTACAAAATTAGAAATGTCTTTTGGTAAGGCTATGTACGATAAACCCTATGTGGTTTGGCCATTCCCCGAACATCACGCATAATAGGAGCTTAATGCACCGTACTTTCCCACAGAAATGCCTTTTGGTACTTTCTGGAAGAAGTTTTAATCACTTTTAAGTTTTTGTTAGAAAATTTTTTGATGACTATAGTAAAATGCATCTTAATTCTAAGTGATAGATTGTATAGTCGTTTGTTCAGTATATTTTCATTTAAGTGATAAAGTAATGTTATTATGCAAACAATATTTTTTTCTTGCATTTTTTCCTTTATAGTAGAAACATACTTTTTTAATGAAAAATCATTATCCAGTTCCTTAACCGGTTAGGGCTCAATCATAGGATTGTAGGATCTTGAAAACTACGATTAACCTTTCACAACACTTATCACACAGTGATTGGTCATCAGCTAAAAATATTTTGATAGCTGAATGTTACACTAAACAAAGCCTCGACGTTATGCGGTAGTCTCTGATGGGAAATCTATAAAAGCAACAACAAAATAATAATATCACACTAAGTCGCCTCTAAAGATATAACGTATTAATTTGTACAGATTTCTATACAATTCAACACATCTTTTGACAGTAAATGCCAGCACCAAAAAAAGGAAAAAAGAAAAAAAGAACTACACACTATTTCGGCCTTTAAAATGATTGGCAAAGCTACCATGATAAAAGATATTAGAAAAATAAATGGGGTTTATGTGCTATAATGTTGTTCAAACTGTTCCCGAACTAATATAAATGCTGGGGTTTGTCATTAGTGTTAAAGATTTAATTTAAAAAAAGCCGGATGCTGGGAGGACATCAGGAATATCTTGTTTTACTTGTGATCCTGATTGCAACTTTAACAATATTATTTAGGTGGTATTTATTCTTTTTAATCTTGTAAAAATGTTAAAACCAAATTAATTATTTCTGGATGTTCCAAGAGTAGAGATCTAGGAAGGTATGTGTATACTAGAAACCATTATTAGAGTTGGACTTAGGGGGCGGAAGGGGTTCCCCTCGCCGGAAAATTACATTGTACATATAAGGCAAAATCTGTTTTGTGCATCTTCTTGACACAACCCAAAATCATAGCTCAATGGTTAAGGGGGTTCAAAACCTTTGTGAGGTTGCTGGTTCAATTCCTACTTGCCACAGTCTATTTTAATTTTATAACTTTTTTTTTGGACCCCCTTAGCGGAAATCCTTCCTCCACCACTGCCTCCACCACTGACCATCATTATTTATGTCCTAAATTCATCGCTTGAAGTACCACTGGTAAAAGATGGTAGCTTTTACTAGGACTTTCCCCAACTATGTTTATATTTTGATTACTAGGAGTATAATAAGAGTTATTGCTTGGGCCATTGACCGGTAGAAATGGTTAAATAGCGCTGATGCATATCATTATCTTGCATGGTTGTGCAGCTCTCATTTTAGTTTCTTAAGCTGTTATCTTTCTTTGATTTGCAGGTGAAGAAGAAAAACAATCAACTCGGACCTTTTGACTGTACAAAGTTCAACCACAATATGCCTCCGGAGTCCTGATTCCTGTTTGGCTAAACTTGGTCTCATCCAAATTCTTTCATTCACCACTAACATGTTTCTGATTTAGCTTAACACTGCTTGGCAAGAAAAGTTGCTAACTGATACATTTCTCCAAATACACGATTTACACCCTTTATATGTAATTCTTTGTACACCGACTTTAAAAGATTCCTTTTTTTTTTAAATTAAAAGATTCCTTTGTTATTTCTTTTATGTCAAGAGCAATATCTCATTCATGAAAAGTTGATCTTTGTTGAAGACAATAAGCTAAGCATGGAAATCTGCCGCGGAGCTTATCCAATCCATGCTTCTTGAATTGTACTAATAAGTATCATTTACTGGGCGCATCATTTGGTTTGTCACCTATATTTTTATATTTGTAGAAGGAGGCAAACACGAGGTAATACAAGAAATTTGCTGATCCCAGGAAACAACAGAGCCAGAAGACGTTATCCATTCTTCCATCATTGATATTGTCTGGCAACCATCTCGTTGTTCTCTGAACCAGATCAATCAGAGTATTCCCCATGTAGAATCCGATACCAATGAACATTGCAACTACTGCAGTTGAGGTGCTTTTCAAGGATGCAGGAAACTCTTGGTAGTAAAACCCTAGATGTCCCGGAATATGGAATCCTTCTCCAATACCATTAAAAGCTAGCTGTGGCACTAGCCAGAGGACTGACATTGGAACAATGGCACCATTTTGGCCTTGGAGATGGTGGGATCTCACGAGCCTCAGCCGCTGTGACTCCACCAAGGCAGAGACGGCCATGCTAAGTATCGTTAGTACATGGCCTATCCCAATGCGCCGAAGAGGTGTAAGAGAAAATTGGGAGCATTTAGCTAAAAAAGGGTAGAGTAATCTGTCAATGAAGGGTATTGATATAGCAGTCCATATAAACACAAAGACTGACATAGAACCTGCTGGGATTTTGAAATGGTGTCCCACCTGACGATCCATCTTTAGAGCCTGGAGTACTAGCAGGCTTGATTGAATGATCAGAGGGGTGGATAAAAATAATCCGCTACCCCACAAAGGAGCAAGCTTAATCAAGCTTTTCAAATCTTCTACTTGTTGGATTGTACATAGTCTCCAGGTATTCTCAATGGAGCCATCTGATTTAATGTCTCCCACGGTGATGAAGGCTGCTCGGTTGAGGAACCTATATAAGAGAGCTTCATTAGCAAACTACTATGAGCAGAGGCGAATCTAAGAGCCAGAGTCAGTGGATTCGGGATGATTATGATCTTAATAAATGTAAACATAGTTCGAATCAAAAGTAGTAAGTTCAGTTGAATCCACATAACATGCCCTAGATCCGCCCTTGAGCATGAGTAGTAGCTCAAACACAAGAAAGAATTAATATAGAGGTTTTACTTGAAGGTAGGAGTAGGGGAAGCCATATTTTTGTGTTTATCACTTGGATCATGATAGTAATGGTGACTTTGCTCAAACAGGGGGATTTTCCGTTTCTGAATGGCTGCGACAACAACACGAGCCATATTGATAAAAGGGCTGCCTTCTTGTTCCTTAACATGGCGATACGAACGTATCCCAGATAGAAAAATGGCTAAGGCGAGGATGTTAAGACCTAAAGAGATGGCAAAACCCCAGGTCCAACTAATATTGTCCTCAATGTAGACAATGGCTGTGGAGCTTACAACAATGGATGTGTATAAGGTGAATGTGTACCAGTTAAAGAAAATTCCTTGGTGTTTTGGCTTGTCAAACTGATATGCTCCCATGGATCCAATAGTAAAACGTGTACCTGCAGCCCCTAGAGACGCTAGTGCAAGAGCAACATATAAGACAGCATATTGAGTTGTTGATGGGTTTTTACAGGCACTGGAGCCATCATCACATACCAGAGGTCTTAATTTGTCAATGGCTGCTGTGAATACTAGAAGCAATATACCCTGCAATTGCAAAGAAATTTACTCTAAGCATATATTTTAACCCGTAGTAGCAGGTAACGCGATAGTGTAAAGGTTCTTATACTATCTGTGTATAGAAGTCGGACTTCTTCTTTTATTGTGTGTGAATGTTTAATAAGATTTGGAAGGCAAGAAGATGGAATCTAATGAAAAGGAATTAGTTTTACCAGAGCAGAGATAAGGGAAGAAATCCAAATGACAGGAAAACAACCAAGAAAGGAGTCAGCAATGATTCCTGTGAGAATGGGGAAAGTGGTGATGCAGCCATTCGCCACATTATATACTTTAGCAGCGGGGATGCTCTTCATGTTGAATTCTTGTATCAGATAAACAATCAGGTTGCTAACCCATCCTCCTGCAGCTACTGTCAAGCAAGCCATTGTTCCTGCTTAATTTTGGGAATTAACACATTCAAATTTGTTAAAATACAAAAATTAGTATCCGATCTTTGTTACACAGGACCAAAATGCATCTACACAGTAAAGTGTCAAGGAAGACCAAAAAAAGAAACAGACCTATCATATAGGGGAAGGTTATCCAGCCACCATTTTTGCGGCTGTCCGAAGAGGATAGTCTTGCTCTTTCATCATCAGGACTGGCTGAATTATCCATTGAAATTAATAGCAGTGATGTTTCTTCTTTTTGGATATGGAGTTTCAAGTTTTTATAAGTAAGCAACTTTATGCAAGACTGCTGGACCCCAGGTCACTGATTTTATAGGCCACCCTGTTCATTTAATTGGCTCTTTTGTCTTTGTTACGTTCATGTAAAGTAATTTCGATTACTTTTGTGTTTAAATTAGAAATCGTTACTATTTATTTTAAACGAAATTTAAGTATTTAAAATCGCACATAAATTAGGTTTTTATTTTTATTTTTTTATGTTTAGAAAAGAATAAAGAAATATTATTTACATGAATTTTCAAGGAATCGAGAATTTTTTCCAGGGAAGAAGAAAAAGAAAAAGAAAAGGATCAAGCTTTATTAGTGTATCCAACTTTAATTGAATGGTATTTTTCTAAGCAAGATGAAAAACCTGTCATCTCATTTGTTGATAGGTAAATTACCTGTTTCATATAGTATTTCAGACCAAAAGATACTCGTATTTCCAACTGGAAAAGCATGGTTTTTAACTATTTGTTCGTTCTTCAAGTTTAAATTGCCTTCACCTGCTGGTCCTCTGGTTATTTTAACCAAATTAATCACTAGAAAATGACGTGCGACAGCTACAATGGTATTGTCATCTTCAAAAAAGAAAACAATCTGAAAAAGGCATCACAAACAGCTACGACTTAGAATCGACATTCAGGGACATTTTACCTTGTTGATTTGTCTAGTGGTCTTGATAATAGGCTATATAGTTGATATTTACACCTTAATTGCCCATGTTTTGTTGTTGTTTTATAATGTAATTTACCAATAAAATGCTTTAAAAGGTGCTATTTGGTTTCGCAGGGGATATTATATGTGAGGAAGCAACATGAAGTGTTTGGAGGCAATAATGTGAAGAAAACACCCACTCAAGAAGTACCCGAACACAAAAGAGCAAAAGAAAATGACTGGACAAAAGTCCACCACGACCGTGGTGGACAGCGGAGCAGAACGCGGAGACAAAACACAAAAATAGGCCCAAGCAGTGTTCACCGCGGTCGAACGCGGTCCATGCCGCGGCCGCGGTGAACTGTTCACGATCCAGAAATTTAAGGGCCAAAATGTCAATTCGGGAAAACTTTTGTAAAACCCTTATAAGATGTAGAAACTCGCCCAAGATAGGGGAAGCTTATTTGGAGATTACTTTTGGAAGAAGAACAAGTGTGAGAGATCACCCAAAACATCATAGTTCTTTATCTCTTCTATTTTTCTTGCAATTCTTCCATTATGAATAATTTAGTAGTTTTATCTTACGTTGTTATAAGTAGCTAAATACTTTAATCTAAGGTTTTGGTGAAACCCGTTGGGGATGACTTGGTTGTTATATTAATATTGTTTTGAATTGGTTGTTAATCTCTATTTGTTCATCTACGTCTTGATTGTGGTTAATTGAAAGGGCCCTCAATTATCCGTCCCTAATTAGTATGTATCTACTTGAGAGAGAGTGCATATTTAGGTGATTGAATGAACAACATCACTCCCGGAGTATAGACGAGAGTCATAACCGAGGGTTTAGAGGTTGGATTAGAAATAACGATACCTCGAGTGCAATTTAAGTGAACCGTAATGTGAATCTAGCTAGCGTAGCTTGAGATAGTGCGTCTAGTAAATTATCATAATTGCTTGAGAAAGATTTATGATAGCTGGAGCGTTCATGATTGATGGAGACAACTAAGTCTCAGTTATAAAACATATTCAACCAAGGAAATCAACAACGGGGGAAACCATTACCTTAGACCTTATTCCAATTATATACAAGCAAGCTTAGTTAACTTTCAGCTATTATTTATTTTCAGTTTAGTTGTTAGATATATCATCAATTGTGAATTTCAAAGTTTGAGAAAATTGATTCTGTGAATTTAGTAAGTCCGACAAAAGTAATTGATAGGTTAATTCTCTGTGGTTCGACTCTGGGTAGAATTACTCAGACTATATTTGCTACGTCCGTGTGTGTCTTTTTATAAGGCATAGTTTGGCGCTATCAAATTTTGGCGCCGTTGCCGGGTTATCAATTACAATTGAAAGAAGTACAAAAATTCTTAGTGTAGTCATTTTTCTCTATACCCAATCTTTTCATTGAAATTCTAACGTTTGAACTCTTGTGGAATTCAGGTGTACGCCTAGAAATTCTTCGAGGACTGGAGAACTGCTAGAAGGACTCTCAGACCCCGAGAAAACGTTCAGGGCATTGAACCGTGCCAACAAGAGAATCCAACAATCACAACAGCTCAAATTTGACATGGGTGACGAAGACAAAGTCATTGGAAACGTTGGGGACCCGCTAGCAAACCCCAACGTAAGAGTAGTGGCACCTCTTGTGCCCGAAGCTGCACTTTATGACTGGGCACAGCCCACAGCTGATAACTTGGCCACTGCCATAGTTGTGCCCGCAATTCAAGCGGAGACCTTCCAAATAACCAACAATATGCTGCATCTACTGCAGAATAAAGGATTGTTCTTCGGATCACACATTGAAGACCCTCAGCAGCACCTGAAAAATTTTCTGTCAATTTGTGTGACCCAAAGGCAGCCAAATGTGACCCCGGAAGCTATCAAGCTGTTACTGTTCCCATTCTCTGTGACCGGGGAAGCTCAGACTTGGTTAAATTCGCTCCCTATCAATTCCATTGCCACTTGGGAGGAATTAGTCAAGCAGTTCCTGAACAAGTTCTATCCGCCCAACAAGACTGCAAGACAGATTGATGAAATATTGCAGTTTAAGCAGCAGCCGACTGAGTCCTTGCAAGAAACTTGGGAAAGATTTAAAGGGATGCTAGTGAAGTGCCTTCACCATGGCATTCCAGACCAGATGCTTGGCCAGAGACTCTACATGGGGCTAGCAGACAATTTAAAAGCAAATGTGGATGCTTCAGCTGGAGGTGCATTTTTGAGTAAGACATTCACCGAGTGCAAAATCCTTCTTGATAAGATGTCGCAAAATTCGGGGTGGATGACTAGAGGTACAACACTGGCACCCATAGTGCATTCAGTTCCTCTTGATCAAATAATTCGCATGCAGAGAACATGACCACACTCATGACCCAGATGAGCATATTGACAAAGAAGATTGATGAGATGGGTACAAAACAGGTGCACATTGTTGATACAACAAATGGAGGACTGTGTACACCTTGTATTAATCAGTCTTATGTGTGTTCATGGAGCGGAGAAGGCGAAAATCAAGGGGCAAGGGAAGATATGAATTATGTCAACAACTATGGGGGTCAGAGGCAAGGAGCACAGCAATGGAGACCGCCGCAAAATCAGCAGTACAGGCCTAACATGCAACAGCCTGGGGGAATGCACCCTCAAAACCAAATGGTGCCAGTACCATATTAGAAATCACAGGGCTATCCACAGCAAAATCAGCAGCAACTAACATATCAACAACCTCCTCAGCAAGATAACAACATGATAGAAATCAGGGGTATGCTTCAGCAACTCATTGGGACAAATAATAAAGTGCAGGAAAAGTTGGCAGTGCATGATTCAGCTATAAAGAACATTGAAACGCAGCTGGGACAGCTGTCCATGGCTTTAAACAACCGTCCTCAGGGAACCTTGCCTGCAGACACTAACATAAACCCCAAGGAGCAAAACCCAAATCAGCTGATGGCAGTAAGTCTCCGGAATGGGAGAGATTTAGACAGAGAATAGGAGATTATACAAGCCAGTAAGGAGAATAAGACAGTCACTCCAGCGCCATTAGAGGTGGAGGAACCAACAGAACTTACTGAAGTGGTGGTTGAGCAGAGTCAGGAGGAAAAAGGCAAAGAAAAGATGAATGAGCAAGCTGCAGAACAGGTGGCACCTCTTGTGCCAGAAAATTCCAACAGAGAGAAGCCAACAACCAATGCACAAAGGGTGATACCTGCACCCTTCCCTAAGAGACTAATAAAACAAAAGAAGACAGACCAATACAAGAAATTCATGGAGATGTTGCGTCAAATTCAGTTGAATATTCCGCTGATGGATGCTCTGAGGGAGATGCCCGGTTATGCCAAGATGATGAAGGATCTAATGTCACGGAAGTTTGATTTTCAGGATCTGTCACTGTGACTCTGACACAGACCTGCAGCGCAGTAGTAACAAGACCGATGGCTCAAAAGATGTCTGATCCAGGTAGCTTCACTATCCCATGCACAATTGGGAGTTATGCCTTTGCAAAGGCCTTATGTGATTTGGGAGCCAACATAAATCTGATGCCGCTGGCAGTGTACACTAAATTGGGCATTGGCAAAGCTAGACCGACTTCGATGCTGCTACAGCTGGCTGACCGCACGGTGAAAAGGCCAACTGGTATTCTTGATGATGTGTTGGTGCAATTGGGGAAGTTCGTGTTCCCAGCAGACTTTGTTATTTTGGATTGTCAGGTAGACGAGGAGATACCCCTTATTCTAGGAAGACCATTTTTGGAAACTGGTAGAGCATTGATCGATTGTGAGACTGGGGAATTAAAAATGAGACTGAACGATGAAGAAGTCATATTCAATGTTCAGCAATCTATGAGGAGACCCAGTGAATATGCTAATTGCTCTCTAGTGGAGGCAGTAGATGTGATCCTGCAAGAAGATGATGTAACCCTGACTGTTAAAGATCCACTAAAGGCATGTCTGACAAATTTAGAAGAGATGGATGGTGAAGGGTTAGCTGAGTGGGTCATGGCACTTGAAGGCCAAGGATTCTGGACAAGGGAACCTCAGTTCGAGTCCCTTGAGTTAGAAAAAAGGGCTACACCTCCAGCAAAGCCATCAATAGAGGAACCACCCAAGTTGGAGCTGAAGCCACTCCCAGAACACCTCAGGTACGTTTTCTTAGGCCCCAATTCTACTTTGCCTGTTATTATATCATCCGGTTTGCTAGATGTGCAGGTAGAACAACTCTTACAGGTACTGCAGGAAAGCAAGACTGCCATTGGTTGGACCATGGCAGACATTAAGGGTATCAGCAAGGCCTTCTGTATGCATAAGATTCTCTTGGAAGAAGGGCACAAACCTTCCAGAGAACATCAACGAAAGCTGAACCCGAACATGAAAGAGGTAGTAAAGAAGGAAGTGA